CAGTCCCAACGCCGAGCTAGATGAGCTGATAATAACTTCAATGACTGTTTGGTGACGAGGTGTCGAGTGCGGTCTTGGGCCTCAGATTTGAACCCATGGACGCAGCTTTATTAGCGCCCATCTTGCGCGTCAGTTTGGCGTAGTGCAACCCGCAAGCATTGCACAGGGTTCGCGCTCCGTCCGGACCACGGCGCCATTCGGGTGTTTCGGCTCGGTTACAGCTATGGCAACGCCCAGGGGGAGCAGCTTTCTGCAGATGTCACTGTTAGCACTATCTAGGTAGCAAAATAAATGATATCATGGGTGGTGATTGGTGAACAAATCAACATACCCCTCGTCTTTTTTTCGAATCAGGTCCCGCGAATCCACCATTGGTCTTGAAATCTTCTTGGTACATTGCCACGTGATCCTCACCATGAACACCACTGGGTTTGAAGACTTTCCTTTGCGCCATTTGCTCAGCCAAAGCATGTTCGTTCAGCACTGCAGTTCGTATGCGAAGCAAAGCCTCTTGGTTGCGGCGTTGTAGATTGAGCATCTCCTCAATCTCGTGCGGAAGTGGCAACGACCCCGTTACTGGACCAGAGCGCTGCGTTTGATGCGCCCTTGCTGCATAGTGACGCGAAAAGTCCAGAGTCCGAGTGCTAATATCAGCTATTTCATTCAGTGAGGTCTCGACGTCGTAAATATCTAGATGACGCTTAACGGGTTCACCGTAATGATGCCCAGTCAATGGAGGGCGAGCTGGAATCACCCCCTTCATTTCCTCAGCACGGCCGGTATCAGGCATTCCTGGTTTCCAGCCTGTTCCGCCATAAGGTCGAGTATCATAAGGAGTGGAAGGGTATGATGGCGCATTCGGAGGAGGTTGCGACTGAAACTGGAAGGATTGCGAGAAAGTGCCATATCCGTTGGGAGAAGCCACACTGCCGGCAGAAGGAGGTGCACTGTACTCATAGCCAGAACCAGTCTGGGACCCGGATATAGAAGTAAGACCAGTCTTCGCACTCTGCGTAGGTGACTTTCCCGAGCTTAGCGACTGTAGAGATGTGGTTCTGGAGTCCTGGGTGTTGATTGAGGCCAAACTCGACCGCGACGCCTCCGCTTGCAACTGAGGTTGGTGGGGAAACGTTGACTCGCGCATGAAGGTGCCGGACGGGGCGCCGTTTGAGAACGGGTTAGGTGGTCCAGGGGGCCCCTCTGTGCCCGGTCGCCCAGCAACGTTAGACGACAAGGGGGGAGGGTGGGGTGCATGGTGAGCCTGTTGTGGGGGAGCCGAAGTGGGCGCAGGATAGGGCAATGGATTATCGTTTCCCAAAGCCTCATGGATCGACGGAAGCGATTGTCTCTGCGGCGGCTTTTCCTTCTCCTCCTCGAATGCGCGCCGCGAATCTGGCGGTGATATGTATCCACCTTGCAATGAGCTTGTGTTGGCGGATGTGGAGAAAGAATAGGGTAGGGATTGCGACGGGTACATGGATGTTGGACTTAAAAGTGGTGTCGGGGAAGATGTCGGGCCCATGGCGGCGGAAGGATGTTTTGCGCTGTAGTTTGGTCCGTCTTTTCCGAGAAATCCCAGTACGGGGAGGTGCTCCCTAGATTGAGGCGTTGACTTGTCAGTAAAATTATCCGACGAACGTTGGCTCTATGCAGTGGTTTTGCCATTTGACGGGCTGAGCTCCCATGAGCCCGTCTAAAAAGAGACATACCTGTGCCTGTGCTCAGCTTCTAATGATCCCATCATGCCAGTAGTTTAAGACAAGATAGAGGAAATCGAATGAATACGAGGGTTTCATCCACTGTGTCTTTAATTCTCGGTCCTGTGTGTGATTCGCTATAAGTTGTGATCTATCGCGCGAGTCTGTCGGGGCGATTTAGACGGTGAGGGTTGTCCAGCGAAGGCGGAAGAAACCAAGGCAAGCAACGAGATCTTGGGCGGAGTGCAATGACGAATGCTCGTCAGATGAGCTGGGTTCCGCGATGAATTTGCTTCGGGTAGACGATTGCGAGAGTAAGCAAATACAGAGAAAAATGACGACGTCGCCTTGCTCCACAGGTGTGTAATCGGGAGTGGTGGCGGTTGTAGGTGTGGAAAGCGGGATAGCGGGCGAAAGTTGTAGGAAGTGACTCCCGATGGGTCGCCGGACTGGCTTAGGAAAAGGCGACAGAGGGCGGCGATTGAAGTCAGCGCAAGGTGCGGAACAGGCTCCGTGAGGATTAGTGGCAATGCGATCGCCTTTAGGACAGCCGCGGTTGTCAAGTGCTAAGAACTATAGGACGGCGACAACAAAATATGACACGCACCCGCAGCGCGCAGTGAATAGGTTAGATCAGAGTTACCCTTCCTGTTTTAACTGACTGGCCTTGCACTCCCAGCCAAGGATTGCACTTCTCGGATTCCAGATTGAGGTTCTGCAGTCAGGATTTTTGCTTTGTGTACAGTCCTTTGAAAAGATCGATTTGACAATGTTTGAGTTCGCGGGAGCGGCGGAGGCGCAGTAAATGCAAGGGATAGAGGTGAATGCGTCGCGTGGAAAGGGAGACGTCGGCTGGTCTTGTTTCCTTCCCTGCCTGGAGTCTTTGTAATCTGTCTGATAGATCTCCGACCTTTCCTTTCCTGTCACTATCGATTGATAGAAAGCACAAGGGCGAGCTGGTGTGAAAGAGAAGAATAATGGATCAGTGTCAGCGGAGGCAGACAAGATATGAAGGTGGGATGACAAGCGGACACAAGGGCGTGTCCGGGAAGATCCAAGGAAAAAGAAGGCGGGGACAGGAAGATTTGATAAATGTCAAGGGGGGGGGGGGAAGGAAGAGTAGCAAAATATGGAGGGATTAGTAACAGGATCTAGGATGGCTCGCGAAAGAACAAGGAGAATCTCCCTTACGATTGGAATGCTGGAATTAAAGGGAAAAGAAGAAAGTCAAAGAAGACTTGCGCAGAAGATATTAGTAGGTGTAGAGAAAGAGACAGAGGGTGAGGTGGGTAGTCGGCAGCACCAGCAGGGTAAGTAGGAACATAAGAGGAAGAATAACAATGGAGATGGAAGGAGCAGCATCCGCAGAAGACTAGAATAGTTGACTTAGTACTGGTAAAGAATATTTTTATTATTATCATGATGATGATTATTGTTATTATTATTATAATTATTATTTCTGTGAATATTATTTTTCGAGAAAGGAATTTAGGGAAAAAAAGGAAAAAAAGGAAAAAAGGAAAAAACAAAAAAAGAAAATAGAGATCGAAATTAAAATTATGCTTGACCAAAGAAATACAACTTCAACACCCAGGGCCCGCACACACACGAGATACGGGGGGATCCAAACAGGAGCTACGTACTAGGACGAAGTAGTCAGTACATCGGGCCAAGACAGATGAGCTCAGACCTGGGAAAATGGATGGAAGAAAGACAGGCAGGTGGAGGAGCCAGACCGGACTATGAGATCGTCGAATCATGCTGGTGGTCGTGACCACTTTAAAGTTACGGCGAATTACAGAAGCTTTACGGCCTGCGAACTGCGGATCTTCCACAAAGTGTGGAGTGGGTTGAAATCATGTTGGCGATGGGCGGATATCTCAGTGGAGCGATGGAGCCTTACCAGGGGGGGGGGTTGTCCCTGGCCTTGAGAAAAATATTTTCTTTCTTTTTTTCCTTTTGGTTATTTTCTAGTAATTCTGCAAAAGACTGAATTAAACGTGTTACGTATTCAAGATACGTCCTACAATACCATCGCTTTCCAGATTAGCATGCTGGTACCAATTGGTGGTTAGCTCCTGCCACTTCTCACTATCTACAAGTGCAACCAGTTTCTCCCTCGTTACAGTCCTGTATTATCTCAAAACATGTTACATTATAGAATCGGCGAATCTAACAGCATCTCCAAGCGCCGGATATCTTGCTCCAGAATCATCAGGCATCGAGGACTCGAGGAAGTCCAGAGAATAGCTTACCCGTTCTATATTTCTATTTTTTTTTTCTTTTGCAAAAATAGGATCGATCCTGTACATGGGGTTTGTTCAGCTCCCTACCTAAAAGTTTTTGATTCGATGAACCTCAACCAGTGTTGGGTGTAGGTCAAAACTTCTATCCTTATAGTTTATGCTCTACTGTACGTCAACTAAGAAATCCTGTTTATGGCTCGTCAAGTCCATACCTATAGCTGGGGCTCAATGCCATGACCGAACATCATGGAACATTCGGACCACGGATAATCGGTATGGGTATGTAACGATTTCGGAGCCGACGGGAGCAGGGGCAAGCCAAGAGAGGGGTGGTGCACCGTGTCTGAGGAGGGGACAGAAGACAATGTTAATCAATATTAATATCGGGGCAACGATAAGTGGTCCGGATATCAAGATCCAGAGATCGCACGCTACGCAATCTGAGGGAATGTGCCTCTAATTTTGGTGCGGAAACGAACACGGGACGCTCAAAAGATATTTCACCGAATTGAAGTGGCTCTTGACTAAATAAAAATTCTACGCTGGTGTTTGCTGTCCCGAGTATTGTCAGGTGTAGAGAGATGATGCGTAGATGGGAAGAAGTTGTTTTCTGGTCATCATATCTGGTGTGAGAAATTGAAAAACATGTGGTAACGTTATAGTACCCTAGTCACCGGGATCTCTCCCCTGTCTTCTGAAGGAAGATGCTTCACATTCAACTAAGATATGTTTACAGGGGCTGGATACACAGAAAAATATTCATACGGTTTTAAGCTTCTGTGGATGAAGAGAAGAATAGAAGGCGATGGCCATCTACTCCGTTCCGCGCTTTGAATTCTATCCATACTACCGACGCTGCGATGTTTTGCCTCGGCGCTGTAACTTCAACGCTGCGACCTATGACGTGCTGCTTGGTAAGGCAGCAAATTGCTACCTGTGATCGATACTTAGATCCAAATGTTGGACCCAAGGTATGTCAAACAAACATACTGGAGTCGAAGTTGGCACAGTTCCCAGATCGCTGATTCAATACCTGGTAACATACAGGGAGCTTTGACCTCCCTGACCAACATAATCTTCTCCGAGGTCGTCAGATTGTCGCCCTGATTAAACAAGGTTCAAGACAAGGCCGGAGCAGATACACACATACCCACACAGGACTCAAGGCCAATTCCAACGGAGAACCTCGCTGGACAGAAGGCACCTTTAGCGCCAGCACCGGCTGCGTTAGAAGGAAGGATAGTCTCCGACCCTGGAGATCTGAGAACGATCTTAGTGGGGAAATGGAATCGCGCATCAGCAAAACACCTGCAAACACACTTCGCCAGCTGCAGCTAGCCCAAAGAATATGCACGGTTGGGATCGCAGCTAAAGTATAGCCTGCCATTCACTCCAGAGCACGGCGTGCGAAATTTCCAGCTGACGCGAGCCATGGTCAGCTCCCCTCCTGCAGCGAGGAACCAGACCTTTTGGATCAGGCTGCTGGCCCCCCTGCTTTCACTTGCAGTGTTGAAGCTACTTGTCATTCGACATGAAAGGGATGGGGGGGAGCACGGAGGGGAACAATTTAGTTTGTAAACTAAAAGCAATGTCGAGGAAAGGATGAGATAGAAGGAGGGGAAGAAGAGGTGCAGCAAAGTATAGCCGTGCCTGCGTGATTTGTACAGTACCATGGTACAATACAACGCTCCCCGCTTTCCCTTGCTCGAGATCTCGGGCATAGCCGTTTGTGGGTGGCACCATCGTCATCACCACCTTGATCAACATTCCTGATGATCATTCAACATCCGTTGCAAAGTCAATTTAGCCTTAGGTAATAATGTAGGCGCTGGTGGATTCCTGTCTTTCTTCTTCAATGGGGGTTTTCATTGCCCTGTTCCTTTGCTGCTCCAGCCGCAGGACTATAGCTCGTTGGCTAACTTATAAGTGTTTTGTATTTCTCAGTTGCTCATTACTCTGTAGCCTGCAGTGATGAGCAAAATGTTACTAGAAGGGGTAACAGACTATTGAAGACGGTGAAACTGAAGCCCCGATCATAGTGCTCTAGGAAGGGAGGAAATCTATCCATGATATGTGTATAACGGATGCGTTCGAGGCTTCCAACGGACGCTTTCGCTGTCGACTACGGGTACTTACGATTGCACTCAGACTTTCGATCGATCGATCACTAACCCAGATATTTGGCTCCAATGAGCAATGCTAGCAGGGGCAGTTGAGCAACAGTCTCCTCCCGTTGCAACCAAATAGCCCCCCTTCTGCCACATCCAATGCATAGTGCTGGAACGGACGAATATCCCGAACGAGAAACTTCGTGTCAGTGCGTGCTCTGCTGTCTTACACCTTCAGACATCAGATCGAGACACGTTCCTCAACCTGGAAGAGAATTGTCTGACAACCCTGTACACCTCACGGGGCCTAGCCCCAGTAAACTCGATCTCTTATGATAGGTTTGACTTCGAAAATAACTTAATTGGTCTTCGTCACCCACGATCACGGAAGTTGAACTCCATTTGACTTTTGCTTTCCTTATATCGGGTAAGTCAATGTTTGCCGGGCCCTTCGAGGAGAGCTCAAGCCAGTTTGTGGAGAGTTTGATCACATGATCAGCATGGGCGGGCGCATTGGCGTCAGTTCACTCTTGAACACTATGCCATAGGTATATCATCGCACCGGCAGATGCAATTGGTCTGCTTGTGTAGATGATGCTCGGTGCATGATAATCAATATAAGCAGCCACAGCTCATAGTTTCCTCGGCTGAGCTCATCCAAACCGACAGTTCATATTGATTCCTTACACACTGTAAGATCACTAGGAATATATCAACTCGGCATCAACCCACTATTTCCCCCACAATCATTATCAGCAAAACCCGGCATGCTTGTGAATGACCAGCTACGTCACCGAACCATCCAGTCTGATCTGTCTCCTTTCAAGTGTGTTATATATTATTCTGTCTCTGCAGCAGGGAATCGCTTGACCCTGAGTTTGATCGCACGGAGAAGGATGGAACTTCGATCATTACGAGGTTGAGCCATGATCTGTAACACCTAGTATTGAATGCAAGATACAAGTGAGGGACAAAGCAAATGCTGGTTCTGGAAAATAGACTCCCAGTCACGATTTAAAAATTAACACCATCCGGCACCAAAGTTCAATCGAGTTTCTGGGTTGAGGATGGCACTGAACACATGTATCTCCAATTGAGATAGAGTGATGATCCAGCCCTCAAGCTTGAAGATAGTTGCAAGACACAAGCCCCGACCGGGATATTCTGTTTGTAAGTTTCCTGGCTCACCTTATTCCTGCTACATCCCCTTCTCTTTTATTACAAGTTCATTAGTGTGGACCGACACCCTCGCGGACGTCCTTACGGACACAATGCATGTCATTTTAGAACGTACCTGCCACCTACTCAATGGGCTGTGTATCGGATCTGTATCCAGATAGGTATTTCCAGTTGTTGACGTGATGTTTTTTATTCTCTCGAGGGATCAACTAGAACGATCCTAAACCCGGTAAGGTTACAGCAAGCTTTTCTGTTTGGTCGGTGGGTATGGAAGAACATCCTGAAGGATTTTTTTTTTGTTCGGAAGAATTAACTACGGCCATAATGGTTAGCATGTGAAAGCTGCTCGACCTATGAACTCATGCTACAGATCACCACATCTATCTGCCCTCTGTGAGTCTGCTTTATTTTATCGAGCCCGGGCTTTTGATAAACTCCAGGGTATCCTATGACTTGTGACGCCGACATTATGAAAGTAATCCTGAGGGGTCAGCCCGTTGTACGAAGTAAAGTACTGTACATTTACCACCTTACCAGTGCACAGACGAGGCGACCCGTGGTGGATGGATCCAACGGTCGCCTTAAAATACGACTAATCTGATCGGACTGGTACCAATCGCCCATCCATCCGCCCACCACTCCAGGTACACACCAGGTAACTTCAATACTAAGTGATCATGTCAATTGTTACAACATAGTACGTAGGGGAAAATTTACTCCGTAGACTACCCACCCGCTGCTCATAATAGCAAACCTTGTTATTGACCCATATTCTTTGAACAGGTTGCCTGGAGCAGTTTCGAGTTACTTTAGCAGGCCGCCGTACAAATCTACAGTTTATCTTAATGACTCCCAGTAACTATCGTTCGGCGTCCTCGAAGGAGCCCAGGAATTTGGTAATAATATTGACATACACATTCATATCATATTCTTTCGTAGATATTCCTACAATCTATAGGTTCTTACCCATTTCATATACATCGTAACTTCAAATAGCCGAATCTGCTCTCGATCTTGAGGGCAGGAAATGAGGGCTCAAGCGGGCATGCTAAGCATCATTTCGGACTAGGAATGCTGGATCGTAGACACTGCGCATACAACACCGGGCCCCATCCAATGGTGTTGATTGGTCACAATCCGACGCATTGACCAACAAGCTCACAGGATCTTGGAATGTTTTGAGATAAGTGACAGCTTGCATGAGATTAGGTGAGTCTCAAATACAGCCAACACGATTACATCCCCAGCCACTCGATACACCATGGACTCTAACTTGGCGACAGCTATTACGGAGACACGGTTCCGCCCCAGCTTGTTGTGCCACTGCTGACAAGTGTGCACGATAGCGCATATTCGGGCTTCGACGTCCACCAAGTGGTACGCCCTGTGGAAAGGAGACCGACCTGATCAGACAAGAGATCCATGGATAGATCCAAGGGCTATGCTTCCGTTCCTTGAGCTGAAAGCTGACTTATTCTGTCATAGTGAGAGTATGTATAAAAGCAAAGGGGACCCTCGTTGTTGGCTGCTGTGGTTTCCAGATGACACAAAACGTCTACCGGTAATTTTTTCCAATGGCAAATGTGGTGGTATCCGCTCGCTCCAAGAACAATTGCGTTGCGCCTTCATGGCCCCCGGTGGTGACGATCTCTGTTATCAGTCATGTCGAAAGGGGTGAATGGGACAGGCAACCATACATACACATAGTAGTTAGACTAGGACGAGAAATTCCCTGATCAACCAGCCCCATATCGTGATGAGAGCCATCGGCTCTGTACCAGTTCTCTGGTCAGTGGAGACATGTCCCATCCATCTCTCACCGACATGCTGCTAATCTACAATCTTCTTCCCTGCCCGCAGGAAGCAATGATCGTCGTTTGGAAAGCACTGCTCGGCTCTCCAGTGCCAAGACAGCACCAAACAATACCATTGTCGCTATTTATGCAGTATGCCGTTCGTGTTACCGCATCGGCTTGAAAGGTCGAGAAGCGCTCAAGCCCCACAAAATCCGAGATATTGCATAGAGGGAGTCTGTGTATACAAAGTAACAAACCTACTGGGTGACAGAATGGGGTAGAACAGATCAAGAAAAGACCCTCACGATGACCACAGAATCTTGGATCTTGTACTATCGATTGACGAGGAACCTGACTCGAGTCCTATGCACTATCCGAGGCCAATCACCCCAAATTCATGACTCCCCCTCATCTTTGACTCCGTTTAACCGACGCCAGAGACAAGTAGCGGACTTGGAAACCCGCATTCACTACCTAGCTATGGAGCCAGGTGAAATGGATCTTGTGCCAGGCAACAGATGATTGCCCGGAAGGACTGATTACTAAGGCGTGCCAGCATCGCAAAACTGATCTTTGTCAGCGGGAGTCTTCGATCGAAGATTTCACGCATAGTCAAGAGGTGACACAGCATGGTTCGCGAAGCGAGGAATTTATTGGTGACCCGGCAAACGGCCGGGATCGACAGCGCCAGAGGGCAATGGATAAAGAACCGTTGCGACCGTTAGTAGTTTTCAGTCCCGACACCTCCACTGGGTCTCCCTGACAGCGACACAGAACAGCCCCATAGGCATATCTGGATTAACCTGAATTATTACATGGTACAGGTAATACCGGCATCTAGGTATCAGATGTGGGACCGGGTCCTACTAAGTATGATCTCTCCCAGCGCTGATCGAAGAATCCTATCGGCACTCATAAGGGGTAAGGGGAGGGGAGCTGAACGGCGCTTCGACCGTTTGTGGCAAGAGTCCAAAGTGACGGACGGGCGGATGTATGGATTGAAGCCCGGTGATCGTTCTGGCGACAAGCGTCTGTCTATTGGAGCGGAGACAAAGTCCTGACACCATTCGTATTGTGGTTTGTGATGGCTCCGACTAACGACCTTACTACTTACTAAGTTACTGGTGTTCGCCTGCGACAAACGCCGCCTTCCGCGTCTTGACACCTGATATGTTTACTACTAGGTAGCCACTGCACTTCTTTGGTTTTGGTTTGGGAGAAGGGCTTACGATCCAGCGAGTACGTACTCGTAATCACCTTGCATCACCGGCAAGCAACCCTGCTAATGCACCTGACCCTCGCCGTTGAAGTACATTACCGTACCTTTTGTCAAAGAGTGGCGAGCCACTTCCAGGCTGACTATGATTGGCTATGATCCCCCAGATTCTCCATATGTACCACCGGCAAGGTGACTCTAACCAAGGACTTTCTTATTCGCCCGGATGGGCCCTGACCATAGCAGTGGAAGAACGAAAATAAGAATAGAAAAAGAAAAGAGTCCCCAAAGTCAGGGGTACCTTAGTGGCGGTGGACCAATTTTCTCGACGGCTGGATCTCTCGACCACTGGTATGATGAAAGGGAGAAGGATCATCATCATCATCATCATCATCATCGTCATTATCGTAATAAGTCAACTTTGCTGGTACTGGAATGCCAAAAGGAAATGCACCCGAGGGCAAACATCCCCCCGATGCAGTGGATCCATCCCGGTAAACTCTCCGACGACTTACCCCCAAACAGGAAGCTGACAGCTGGGGTTTCGTCAAAAAATTCGGCTTAACCCGTGCCTCGCAGCGGGTCTTTCGACCTTTTTCCGCAATTCCCTTGCCTTAGCAGGACCTGGCTGTGCTGCAACTAGACCGATCGGGGACATGTACTCTGTACATTCGGTAACGGCCTCACTCCCCCACCAGCCATGCTGATGCTGTCTGTACCCGTCTGGAATCTTCATCTTCGATCCCCGTATCGAGCCAGCCGACAATCGACATGAGATCTCGTCTTCCCGTTCTGCGTTGCGTATATTGGACCATTGCCCATCGAACGGGCTCAAAAGTCCATATTCTCAAACTTATTATTCTGCGATCGGAACCGTCTCAGGAACTTCTACCGATTAACGTGTGCATGGGCCATCTTCCCCTTCTCTAGACTGAGCTGCGAGATTGGCGGGATATACCGCCTCTTCCAACTCATGCCAGTTTCAATCTACGGTTGACCTTTCTAGAGGGGGGTTGCCTTGGACAATGATGGTTCCGCGATCTTCCCGGGGAGCGCGTCAGAATGGAAATATGTTGCGGTGGGTTTGAAGTCAAGGTACGGACGAGGCATAACAGCAGCAACGCCGGCGACAATGATCATAATGATCATATAACTACCACCACCACCACTCGGTACATAGTCCATACTAAGTAGACTACGGAGTACATACATACCTGCCACATACCTCTCCAAGCCATAAAAACCACGTGTGTCACCGCACTGAAGGATAGCTCGGCCACCTCCTTCCGAATAGGGAGACTGAGAAGCTGACCCACTGCATTCCTCCAACCAACCTCTTGATAAACACGTGAAGTGGGCCTTCCTCCACCAGCACCAGTCAAACTGTCCCGTCTTTGGCGTACCAAGATTTGACTGGAGAAACCCTGCCCGAGAATGACGAATGCGACAGATGCCCTGTCAATCATCACGATCGATACCATGGCTGCTGTCCAGGCCTGCTTATGTTCCACTGTGGCTGTAAGTTGGGGCATGGTTGACAGGGAGGCCATCCAGGTGAGGGTAGATGACAACCGCTGATCATCATCATCAGCAGCAGCAGCATAATCGCCGCCGAGGACTATGCAGACGGACACCGGATGAGGTAAGGAGGAAGTCATTCACATTCCCCTCCGTCCTCCCCCAAGAAGAATGTGTGGCTCGGAAGTTGAGCAACAATCATTTCCCTACCCAGGTACGCGGAATGTGTAGTTATCATCTCCTAAGAAACAAAATCTTGACTCTATCCCTCTGTCGCTCTCGTGACTACTCGAATAAGTGTTTCATTTTTCCAGCTTTTCCATAGATCCTTCATCACTACGGTACCTCATAAACACACCGACCGCCAGACGGATCTACTTCGGGTTCCGTGTTGGTGGCACAGGAAATCAATCACCGATTCCAAGTCGTAAGCAAATCCCGGGTCTCTGGACGTGGTCGACGCCATGATGGTGGTAATGATGATCCGCTAGGCCCATTTCCCTCATGAGGCAAAAACACAAGCCAAAATCAGGAAAAGATGGCAAAATGAGCTGATCTCACAAGCGCAAACTAATCTTATCCTAAGCGGACGACTGCTGTCGTGGACTCGTGAAATCGGTGTTAGTCTCGTGTGGATGCGCTCAAACCTCTCCCTCTTTCAACCCTCCCCCCTCAAATTCAGGCAATTTTGCATTTGGGCAAAGTTGGCGTCCGGGCCCGGAGTCTGCGGGACGCAGATACTGCCTCTTCCAGGCCGTTGAACGTTTGGATTCCCCACTGCATCTGCCATGGACCCGGCTGCAGTGGGGGGTTCCACCTTGACTTACTTAGCGCGGTCAAGACTGAGGTGGGATCGAGGAAGGGCGCATCACTTTTGTGCGTGGCACTCAAAAGTACGCGATTTAGGAAAGGTATGCAGGCTGATCCGATGCATACGCAGATTTGGAGAGGGGAGTGAGACCGGATTATCCGACTCGCCTTCTGTTGGCTTCTTTGCATCCCTTGACCCTCACTGGAAATCGTACAAAGTCAGAAAGTCATTTCGATCATCAAAAATTCCTCGTCAACATCACGCTAGAACCATTCTCTCAGATCATCTTTCCATATGGGAGATTCTAATTTGCCGAGCTCGAACTCCCCATGCACATGACTTCTCGGCTTTATTCTCCGTGTCCGGGAAGCTGGGAAGCTACTCCATATATTGAGCTCGACCGGACAGTCCATGGTAAATGACCTGGACTGATCCAGGTGTTGTAATTCGAGTGGTGGGTACACAAGTGGACTTCTATTATTTTCTTTTTCTAAAAGAAAAAAAAATGCGAGACAAACAATAGGGCAGATAGGGGAGATATCACGGAAATTTTCGCTCATTATGATAGGTGAAGCATTCAGAAGCAAGGTATGGAGAGGAGGTGAGTACCAGTAGGGAGAGCTCTTGACCTCATAACGGTTGTCGATCGGCCCGCCATGACTAGCACGATTTCCGTTCTGCAACCTCTATCTGTGGAAACTGTCTAGACTCCAGACTTTGCCTAGCGTCGCTATCTATCGCCCATCGCCATCGTCGGGGTGAATCTGAGCGGATCTTGGGGAGGGAGGGGGAAGGGGGGAGGGGGGGGGGTTGTTGGTTTGGCTGGTCTCTTTGAGTCTATCAGTGATGCATTGCTAGCCAACAGTGATCACGGAGATGACCACCCGAAGGGTGCTAGCACCAGACGAGTTTAATTAAATCACCCGTCAATTTTTGCTCTTCCCCCATAATTTTTTTTTCTTTTCCTGTCTGGTGGACGAGAAGTGCTTAGTGAGGAAGACTAGATGTTTTAAGCCCCGAAGTCAACCCGTAGGATGATGACACTCTGGATCCTATAATGAACGGATAATATTACTGTCGTTGCTTCCGGCCGTAAAAACAACGTGGTGCGGTGGTGGGTGGAATTCTAGTAGTGTCAACGGGAGGTGCAGAAAAGAAGGGCGACCGAATCCACCCACGTCCCAAGGCAGCAACTACAGAAGATGGGATGTGTATCACGGATCAATTCTAAGTTAACTTACCGTTCGGGATTTACATATAGTTAAGCACGAGTCAGGCGGGCTTACAAACACCATAAACGGGAGCCCATACCCGCGTTGAGTACAACAAAAGGGGCTAAGCAGGGCACATTAACAAGCTAATTCGTCTTTTGCGTAAACCCGTTAGAAAAAAGGTAGCATCGTAGACAGCGAGAGGAGGCAAACAGTTTTTCTATTTTTTGCCCTTTCTTCCAGAATTATCGACAATCATGATGCTGCTACTGCTGCTGCTGCTGATGATGACGGCATGTGCTAATCAATAATTTAGGTCGGAGTTTTACAGCCGTGATGGGTGCCCACTGTCCCGATGGAATCAACAAACACCCCAATCTAAATAGATTAAACTGGAACCTCTTGTCTCCTTCTGTTTTCAACCTTTTTTTTTTTTGCGCCCGTAGACTGACTACAAGGCACGACCATTCGAACTACAAGCCTCAGGTTGGGCCAATATATCGACAATCTAACTCCCTACTGAGATCGTTTTTTTTGGCCATACCAAAACACCATGTGCGCGAAATCTATATTTGTCATTCGCTGTGGTGAGCTCAGACGAACTTCCTCCGAATCTTCCTATTTTGACCTTCTGAGACTAGTATATAGTCAAATAGATTATTCCGGACCCCCCACTGAACTGACCAAAAGCAACTAAACAAGGCACCATGTAACCTGAACCATCCGCCTCCCCCGATCGATCATGCCAGAGAACACGAAAAAAAAATAATTAGGAAGGGCATATGGCACCTGAGATATAGTCTATACCTTCTTGGAACTGCTTCCGATCGCTGCCAAAATCATTCCGTAGCTTATATCGACCCTAGATAACCAAAAAGTAAATTACCATCCGGTAAATCACTTGTACCGAGGTATGTACATGTACATGTACTGTAATCATGTACCCCGGGGCAAACACCTACGGTGCCCGAATTGGGGTTCATACCTAGATAGGGCAAAGGGGGCACAGTATTGCATCTCATTCGATTGAGGAACTGGAGCAGAATGATATAGGAGGTGCCCGACGCTCGAGTCGTGGGCCATAAAGCAGATTACCGCTTGAATCATGAGTCGAAGCCAGTCAAGCGGCTCTAGACGTTACTTCTGACTCGCTGACGAGGTAGGTCAACCAAAGCGCAGGAAAAAGTTTCACAAATTAGCTTTACAGATAATAAGTAAGTATGTAGCTTCGGAGAATATGCCTCGACTTGTCTCTTCTGATTCTCTATTGATAAGATTTCAGAATCGTAAGGTCTGATATGTGACGCTCGATCCCTTCCTTGTCCGTGTTCTCGACCCCCCGGTTGTCAAAGCTGATTGCTATTGCTGTTACTTTTGCTATAATCGCTGCCATCATCATCATACCTTGATTCTGTTGTGTAGGAAAACCTGATCGCTACCAGTCTACGGTGTGTTATGATCCGTTGGGGAGGGGATCATACAACAGATGAGCTCATAGAACTCTCGAACCCGCCTCATGTCCCCTTTCCTTTATCCTATGAACTAAGTACTTACCGTAACCTTAAGTGATATCACTATAGATACTCCGCCGAACAGGCCAGGAGGCACATATATATGTGTTTCTCATATAGGGGGGGGGGGGAGGTGGTGGAGAGCGGGGAGTTATATCGGGAAAGAGGTATATTGGGGAAAGTGCAAACCGAGAGAGTTTTCCCAGTTCACATTAGTAAACTGACCACAGACCAGACACCGGAGCAAGCACCATACCATGGCACAATCAAGTTTTCTCTGGAAGAATCTGCACGATGCCCTCCCATCTTGGGGAAGTTGATTGGTGAATCTCTGATGCTATGCCTTCGTGATTCGTTCCTAGAATGGATCTGGACCTCGAATCGCCTTGGTTCCAGGTACGGGCTCACAGACTTCTCTCACTACTTCCATCTTCGGTGAGGATGGAGTGAAGACGGATCTCCCCTGGCTTTCACGCTTTCTGGCATGGTCGTTCTTGTTTCGATGGAGAGCAGGTTTCCTGCTCATGCTGGGGAAAGGCCCTGTTCTTGTTCTTGGGGACGGTTCAAACGCGACCAGGTCTATGACGTGCGTAGGGATAGTGCTCGTGAGTATGGTCTCTGATTCTCTCAACCTCTCAGCTCGAGTAAGGGATGTGGTCTAACTTCTACGTTGTTCATAGTCTTCTAGTTCGAATTGCCTTTGGGATAGCTTCGCTGTTCTAACAACCACCCTCTTGATCGGAGAACGATCGCATATCATGAAAACGCTACGGTGGAAAACCCCTTCGTGGTGATCCATAGCTGGAAGAGAATAGCAAGGACTTAGGCTCTCACTTGGTAGCATGACACCTCTTATGAGAGCGTGGTTATAATGAGCTCCCCCTGGATTTCGAATGCTGCTATTGTCTTTCTCCGGCTTCCCTCGGCGATTATCGCACGAGAGAAATATGAGTATAGGATCGATAACCAGCACCCAGGTGTGATTGCTTGGACACGGCCGAGCTGCGCAATGACTCTGTCATCCACACTAAGTTCTCGTGCTTGACGCTCTCGATCGGACAGATCGCTGATACCAGTATGTTGGCAGGCTCGTGTCTTCCCAATGATCCGTTCGGTACCCTCTCCGCTACATTCAGACCACCAATACCATGTGTGGCAGTCAGTCGAATCGTATACAATGCCTGCGGTTTTCCCCTGCTCCGTCGATGAATCCCAAATCAAGCCACCAGCCTAGATTGCTGTGGCCTCTTCGAAGACGCGACTCAACTTCGGTAGGTCCAACGCACAGGACAAAAGAACAATATGACACATGGGCTAGCTCCTAAGATCGGCTCTTACCGGTCAGCACGCGCATCCAGTATTGATACGCATCGAACCTTAAACCGACATAGCTTGTATCGACCGAGCGCTACAGAATCTGAGATCAGAAAATCCCAATAGACGACCAAACTGCACAGATCCTTTTGTCTATATCGAGCCTGCATAACAGTCTATCTAGTTTGGAGATAGCACATGTGAGATACTGTGCATACATACATGTACAGTACAGTACATGCAGGGTAGGCCCAGAATGCGTGAACCAACCGGCTCCTTTCCGTCTGCAGGTGGTGCTGTCAATGCTGCCAGCAAAGATCCATGATCAGCAACCATCATCCAGAATTTGACTAACTGCATGGAACGAGGCGCAGTGTGATAAGTTGGAAGTTTGGCTATTTGTCAGGTCTAATGTTCGTTCTTCAATCCTCCACCTTGGGTCGTGTCGTTGAGAGGGAGAGTAGAAATACCTGTTTGTCCTCTTTTTGCACTTCTTGGAACTGTTGTTCTGTGTGTATTACACGGTGAAAGATTACCCATACAACACGGATACCGCAAACCCTCGAAAAAAAAAAGAGAAAGAAAGATAAGCACCGCTGGTCTTTCCTGGTCCCAATTTGAACCTAGGTACTGGGTTTCCTGTTACCGCGAATCGAACCATACAATGGCGGTGGATTTTGATCCCAGCTGGTCGGGAATCCAACCACACGTGGATTGAACCACACACCGTACTTCGGCTTGACTGGTGCGCTAAGTGACTTAGGGGTTTGCTTTCCCACTTTCGGCCGGCGGGGGGCCCGGGAGAGATGATGATCTAGATCCCATCCTCCGTTGGGCTATTTCGTCCATCCATCCATCCATCCATGATCTCATCATCTCATGATTTGTTCAGACAAACGCTACGTAATGGACCCGAAAGAACAGCATTCTGGAAAGAACGGAATCGGTGCTTTAATCAAAAATAAATTAAATCACATCGTCCCAAGCATCTCCGATCACAAGCACAATGGGGTCAATCAAGAGGAGTGGGCACCAATTTTGATGAGATCCGAAGAAGGGCCGTCCGATTCCAACGGGAGAGCCAAAGAAACATACGTTGATAAATTAATTGTTCCTAGACTTTCTTAATTTATCTTAATTAACTGTCTAACTATCCGAACATCCTGCCCGTCTCATTACACTCACATCATAGTCTGGCTATGAAGGTGGGACAAATTTGATGGTGTTCTTTTCTTTTCTAGGGGGAAAAACACTATGAATAGCATGGCAGCCGGGAGATTAAGTTATTATTTCCTCCAAGTCCAAGACCTGCCTAGTCGATCGAATTTCAGTTAGCCGATCGGTTCCAGGATATAGCGGCTTCTGACTGGAAGAAAGGGTTTGAGGGTTTCATTTCCCGTATGCTAGATTACTGGGACTTAATACCTAGTAGTACTTGAATAGAGAGCTAAAAAGCCTTCCAGAATTAGCATCTTCACAACAGACGGCTCGCGGATTTTTACTAAGCACTGACTGAGCATTCGCCACTACGTCCTGTACGGAGTAGACTACCAGACCTCCATTGCGGAGCCCTGAGATGATGAGAATCTGCATAGAATCCCGTAGACGAGGTCCCCGAGATGAGATGAGGGAACAAGGGTGGTTAACGGGCCGCCGGGGAAGTGGTGAAAAGTGGGGTTTTTTGGGGGGGGGGGGGGGGGAAATCCACGGG